TACTTTTAAAGCCCAAAACTGTTCAACTAGTCTCTTATGGTCAGTGCTCTTTTAGTTATCAAGCACCTGTTTTATGGAATAATCTACCATTTAGTTTAAGATGCTGTACATCTTTTTATTCTTTAAAAAAACAACTTAAAACACATTTATTTAATCAGGCTTTTAACTGAATCTGTATACAATCGTTAACATGTCCATAATCTTGTTGTTTATGTATGATTTAAATTGTCACTTTGTAAAGTGCCCCTGAACATTTTATATGAAAGGGTGCACTAGAAATATGCTCTAATAATAATAATAATAATAATGGTGAAAATTTTATGTTTAATTAATAAAAAAGTTTTTCGTAAAAATTTAAATTTTGAAAATTTGGCGCCTAATTAATATCTCCGAAGATTCGTCGAAAATAAAAAATGTAAAGAACTGTAGCTATGTGCCTTGTCTCCGGCTTTGTCAAAATGTATCAAATATTACAATCCGACAATTATTAATAACATACGGCAAAATTTCGAAAAACGACAACTTCGGTGATTTCGGACATTTCGCATTGTCGCAGAACGTTAGAAATAGCTTTAAAATTTAAGTCAAACCCACTTTCCCAGTAAAACCGAAGACATCGAATCGATCCGACAAGTAGTTTCTGAGATATGCTCAAATGGAAAAATAATAAGAATAATAAGAATAAGTGTAAAACCCTAATAATGTAATACAAAGGTTATGGACCCTCTCGAGGTCACAATTTTTATTTGATTTTGATGAAACTTAAAACGTATCTTTACTCTCCTGGAGTCCAGCGGCGGATGCTTTTGGGCATAAATGGGGGCTCTAGTTTAGCCCAACAGGATTCATAGGTAGGGGTGGCTGCATGTTAATGATTACTCATGTATAATGCTCATTTGATTAATGTTTTTATTTTAATTTTGTTACAGTCATTTATTTGTTTATAAATAATAAATGACATTTTACACTATACCCAGATGTGTTTGTTGATTCTTTGATTGAGGCACACAAGTCAATGTGTGATTTATTAATATGTGTCATATATTTATTTTGGGATTTCGGCGGTGGACATCAGCCTCACTGTTGGCTTGTTTTCCTGAAACTGACAACTTCTTGTGATTCAATTCTGGCCTCTGTAAACCTCAACTGAAAATGTCCGATGAGCAAAATTTGAAACAGCATCCCTGGTGATGACTGAAGTTATATTCTGAGTTTGGAGAGGGCTGAAGTGAAATTTAAATAAAAAGCATTACACTGGACATGTTCAGATAGTATGGTAGTTTTAGTATTTTGGGCATATTCGAAGTGGCATGCTTTTCATCCAGCCCTTATATCCTCAGAAAAGCGGTTTATGGTGCCTTCTATTTCATTGCATCTCTTTGTAAATAAATGTAAGTGATTGGCAGAGATTTTTGGTTTAATTTAAGGACGTTGAGTAGTCTAAGATACGCACCAATCTTATTAAGACTTTGCACACTTGTTCCATGTGTAAAATAACCCAGAGGACACATAACAGTTCAACCATTTGTTGTGTATTAATGGAGGTACAAGCGGAAAGAAAAAATTTTTTATAGCAAACAGGAAGGTTTCTCCGACCTAGATCAGTTCTTGAATAAACTATGACGTATACACCATTCATGTCATCCGCTGTAAACATTCATGGCCGTGTCCAGCAGTAGTTTCACACTGGATCATTCACGTCTATCTAGATATGACGTCAGAAGGAATTCCTAAGACACGATTATCCAGGTCTACCATCTATCGCGATTGGAATGTGGCTGAATTTCATTTTTTGATGGTCGAAGACTGCTATTTTTGAAGGTATAAAATGATTTTTAGAGCACCCGAGTAGTGCACTGAAGTAGAGATTTACTCTTTACGTCCGAATTGTTGTATTTTAAAACTTGTTGACGTATTCAAAGGATTAACCCAAAATCACAAAATCCTGTTTGAGGGTAAATAATGAAGAACGATATACTGGTGTGATTATCGATATCTCTTTTTAGCATGTACTAACAGAATTTCCAAGAAAACTTATCGTTTTTTTTGCATTTCCATGGATACCAGACAAACCACAGCCTATAGTCAATTGGGTAATTAATATGTAGTTTACCACCCAAAATGACGAAAAATGTCATATCTTATCAACAAAAATTACAGTGCTAGCTTTAAAATGTGCATTTTAGACTGCTCAACGACTTAAGGTCAGGTCATTCCAGGAGCATCCCATCAATCTTTCAGATTTGTACCTATAATATCTATGGTTCCTATCAATCTTTTCACTTTAGATGGTGTAAAAGTTATATTACATAATATTTATTGCAAATAGAAACAAGTTGTGATGGTAACGATGCAAATAGAAACAAGTTATAATGGTAACAATAATATTGATTTTTTGAATGGGGTTTTGTGATAGTTGAGAAAAATAGAGATAGCCCTGTGGTGTGTTCTATCAATGTCAAATGTTTATTAGGAGTAATATTGGTAGGTATAGAACCTCTATATGGGCTAGTCAGTCCTGGTAGATGATAGAAATAGGCATCAACAATATTATTGATCTCCACTGGATGACTGACTGTGGAATAATCGGTCAAATTTTCCATTCACATGCATTGATTGATTTTGTGCTTAGTAACTATGGATTTTTTTTTCACCCATTGCCAGTCTGCCTCTCAGCAAATGTAGTGAATTATTTCTGTAGCAGTTACATAAAAGCCCTCGATAGATGTCATATATGTTCAGTTGTATTTTTTGTTGATTATTTCATCAATTTTAGATGGTAGGTAGGTATGTATGTATATATATATATATCATAAATAAAAATGGCCTAAAGATGTTCAGTATGAACAGAAAGGGCTAGCCGTTAAATTAGTATTTATTAGCTGGGAATTGTATTTACCTATGTTTTATTACATATATATATAGTTAAGTATGTCAATCAATGTTCATTATATGCCATAATATTTTCAGCTATCATGCGGATGGTGTCTTTATGTTTGGGCAGGACATCAGGTTTTTTGATGAGTTTGGCCATTCATTTGTTAATTTTTAAGCCCAACCCACAGTTTTAAGAATGAAATATGATTTTATTTTATATTATTAGTGTTTGTGCATGTAGTATTGTTTGTTAAAGATTTGTATTCATTGATAAATCATATTTCATTTGATTAGTCATTAATAAATGACATTGTACACCATCCATTCTGTTGTTTGTTCTTTGCACGGGTGCTGGGGTATGGGGTTAGTTTGAATGGAAACACAAATGCTTTTCATTCCATCTGATCTAGAGATTGGTATGTTTAATCTCAATAACTAGAATATTATGCTGGTGTTTTTTATAAAATTCTTGAAATGACAGTACTGTTAGATTTAATGCTATTGTCCCATATATTCACCTTAATTTCTTAATGATAAATATCATATGATGGATTTGAATTGACTACATTATGTGGCTTTAGGTATGAATAATTCATGTTTCCTTTAGGTTTTTATACGCCCACATTTTCATGTGGACATATGTCGTCACTCCTGTCCGTCTGGACGTCGATTGACAATTTGTTTGTGAACACTCTACAGGTCACTATTTTTATACGATTTTAACGAAACTTGAAATATAATTATATCTCCAGAAGAGATATTGGCATGTATTGGACGATAACTTGAAATATAATTATATCTCCAGAAGAGATATTGGCATGTATTGGACGATAACTTCATGGATTATAGCCCCTAATTGTACGAAAAATCATGTTTTTAGCTTGTGGACACTCAAGAGGTCACAATTTTCATCTGATTTTGATGAAACTTGATCTGCACGTTTATAACCCAAAGATCTTGGTCCCTTTTGAAATTCGCGCATATCAGATCGTAACTTCCTGAATTATGGCCCTTGATTGTACGAAAATCGCGTTTTTAGCTTGTGGTCTCTCTAGAAGTCACAATTTTTATCTGATTTTAAAAACCGTTTAAAATTGGACCAAAACTGCTGGACAAAATGGCCACCCCTTGTACACAAGTAGTGTAAATATATGGTATATCAAGGTTGTGGACCCTCTAGAAGTCACAATTTTGATCCCATTTTGATGAAACTTCAAATGCATGGTTATAACCCAAAGTTCTTGGTTCCTTCGATATTCACGCATATCAGACCGTAACTTCCTAGATTATGGTCCCTTATTGTACGAAAAATTATGTTTTTTTAGATTGTGGATTCTTTAGAGATCACAATTTTTATCCGATTTTAAAAACTGTTTAAATATATCACCATTCCACCATAATGTCAGTCGTGTTCAAATTTCATGAAAATCGGACTGAAATTCCCGGACAAAATGGCCACTCCTTGTACACAATTAGTGTAAAAGTAAGTAATAAGGCTGTGGACCCTCTAGAAGTCACAATTTTTATCCGAATTTGATGAAACTCAAAATTTTATGTTTATAACCCAAAGATCTTGATTCATTTTGATATTCGCGCATATCAAACTGTAACCTCCTGAATTATGGCCCCTGATTGTACGAAAAATCATGTTTTTTAGCTTGTGGATTCTCTAAGAGATAACAATTTTTATTTGATTTAAAAAAATTGTTTAAATATATCGCCACCACCTTAATGAAGCTTGAATTCAAATTTCGGTAAAATCGAAATGACACTGCCCGACAAAATGGCCGTTCTTTGTTCGCAAATTGTATGAAAGTATGCAATACAAAGGTTGAGAACCTTCTAGAGGTCACAATTTTTATCCAATTTTGATGAAACTTAAAATACATCTTTATATCCCAAAGATTTCAGTCTCTTTCGATATTTGCACATTTCAGACTATAATTTTCTGGATTATGGCCCCTGATTGTACGAAAAATCGCTTTTGTTTGAAGCTTGTTCTCTATCCATCTCTTGCAAAATGTGGGCCTATCTTGCCTGCCAAATCTGATATTTTTAATTTCTTGTAGTCTGAAAAGCATATATGTGTACATAGAAAGATCTTTGTTGGTTTTTTTTTTCAGAGAGCTTTGAAGTAAACGTACAAGATAAATTGGTAAAACATGGGGACTTTTGGAGGACATGCCTTACCAGGAATTTTCTTTATGTTCTTTGGCTTGTGGCATGTAATACAAATATATCGAAGATATTATCAATGCAAACGGGATAATTTAATGTATACAACTTCCACATGGTTCCCAATAGACTGTTGTTGTGGCAAGCTCAAAGAATTTCCTGTTGAAGTGGTTGTTAAGATTTTCCTCATATCTGTTGCATTTTCGCTGGAGATTTACACAGGATCTCATAATGGTGTATTTGATGCTCCAGGAAATGAGCAGCATGCTACCATGTTTTTCTTTTTTGGAGTAACTGCAGTATTTGAAATTCTCCTTTATTACAAAGCCAGCTTCCCACCTCTTCTCAACTATGTGGGTTACACACTGTCTTTCAGTGTGGAATTTGTGCTCTTTAAATTTCATCTACATGGACGCTCCAATATGGATGTCTTGTTGCACACGCTGCTTTTGTATGTTATTGGGGTCTGCATATTATCAACACTTGCTGAAATGAAATATCAACATCATGTGTTGGCATCCTTGACATCAAGCTATGCCATAATGGTACAAGGGTCCTGGTTTTTACATATTGGTTTTATTTTATATAATCCTATACCTGGTGCTGTAGCCTGGGATCAAGAAAGTCATAGACAAATGATGTCAATCACAAGCTATTTTGCATGGCATACAGGATTCAATTTGTTAATAATAGTGATAATTGGGGCTGTGATATCTTATATTTATCATAAAAAATATGGTTATAAAGATGAAGATTCCACAGCCATGAAGAGATTAATTCATACCAATTCAAATGGACAAACTATAGTAAATATGAATGATGATAGTGATGATGAAGCTGAATTTTGAAAGATATTTTTCCACACTTGACACATAGCGTAATATTTTAATAAAAAAAAATACTATATCAAAAGTATAGCAAAATATTTTTACTTCCACAAATAGTGATTTTTAGACTTAAATGTTTAATCAAGGCATTCAAACACTAGTATGCAATTTAAAAGAATATGTTTGACACATGTTCGATATTTTATCAATGCGATAAATGTAAGTTGTTGATGAATTATATTTGAAAGACATTTTCATTACAAAAAGACCGCCTTGCCTTCTGATGTTTTAGAATATCTGTTTTTTATATGCTCACCTATCCAAAATGTATGGATTGTAAGTTTCAAATGATACAAATTACATAATTGGTTTTTACTTTTTATACATCTACATTTCAATGTGAGAAAGTTTCAGTCATGAGATCCTGTGATGTCATAGCTGACTTCCAGTCATTTTGTATTTAATTCTTCATCCCTGAAGAAGTTAGTACTTGCACTGATGTTGGATAAAAAGATGGTTTATTGATACTGTGTTGTACATATTATTGTATCACATTTTAATGTGGTTGTATATTGTTGTCACCTGTGTCCATCCGTCATCCATAGTTGCCTGTAGATGCTTTAGAGGCTAACATTATCATTAGGTTGACTTATACAGAGTGTTTGTTTTCATGAGCCAAAAAAGACTTTTGATTTTCAGATAGTTATGCCTCTTGATTAATTTCAACAATCTTGTGGACGTTCTAGAAGCTAAAGTTATCACCTGATTGACTTGATTTTTATAGACAGTGTCTATGTTCATAATATTAATTTCCAATAAAGACCATTGGAGTTATTGCAATTGATCCATTTGAAATATCTTGTAGACGTTTTAAAGGCTAAAGTTACCATTCGAATGGTATGTTTCATTAACAGAACACCCCAATTGTTAAATGCCACTTAAAGATGTATGTTTCATTGTCTGGTTATAACCTATCTTTTATTTGTTTTTCAAATCACCATGAAAGAAACATGACTCACTGTTTAAGTTCTTGGTAAATGATATTATATACAATACTATTATGTAAAATGTGACAATCCCATATTGTGCTAACTTATGTAATTTAAACCTTCAGTATTTGACAAAATATTTGAAAATAAGAATTTTATATTTACTTCTAGAAATTATTGTTTGCATAATATTATGATGATATATATTTAAGTCTACTGTTATAGAGCATTCTCAATATTTTAACCCAATTGTTATAGTTTGTTAGTCTAGAGTAGGAAATTAATTTTGTATTCCATTATCATCCAGGATACAGCATCCACTTACTTGTTATACATATTCAAATATCACTGCTTTTAAAGGCAGACTCAGTTCTTATGTATTCACCTCTTTTGGCCGAAGGTGCCAATATATTATCCTCACTGTTGGATATGCTTTTAGAAATTTAGATGGTTTAAACAGTCCAGCCTATCTGGGTGATAGATTTTTTTGTCCTCCGCCTTTCAAAGGGAGCAGGGGACTATTAAAATGGGTCTGTCTGTCTGTTTGGCCGTCACAATTTTTGGGACAAAATAACTCTGTTTATCAGGTGAATGCCTTGTTGGAGTTCAAAGATGAGCATTTTCTGCTGAGGGTAAGCCGAGATGTGCAATTTGATTGGTTGATGTTTTGGGACACGATAACTTTGGTTCTAATTAAGTGAGAGTGATGAAACTTAGTGTATAATTTGATTATATCAATATCTTGACTAAGTTCAATAATGAGCATTTTCGGCTCAGGGTAAGCAGAGCAATAAGCAATTTGATTGGTCGAGACTTTGGAGCTTGATAACTTTGATTCTAATTGAGTGAAAGTGGCGAAACTTTGTGTATAGTTTCATTACATCAAAACCTTGACTAAGTTCGAAGATGAGCATTGATACTCCAATCTGATTGGTTGAGACTTTGGAACACAATAACTCCTCCTTCTAATCGAGGTAGAATGTTCAAACTTGGTGTAAACTTGGTGTAATGGTTTATTAGGTGAATGCCTTGATAATGTTAAATAATACGCATTTTTCATTGATTAGATTGGTTAAGACTTTGGAATACAATAACTTTGGTTCTAATTGGATGAGAGCGATGAAACTCATTCTATAAATTCATTTTACAAACACTTTGACTAAGTTCGATGATGAGAATTTTCTGCTTATGCTAAGTAGCGATAAGCAATTGCATTGGAACATAACAACTCTGATTTTAATTGTACTAGAATGTTTTAACTTGTTGTAGATGTTCATGTAGATGTCTTGACTGAGTTCAATAATTAACATTTTCCGCTAAAGTTAAGCAGAGCTAAGCAGTTTTATTGGTCGATGCTTTGGGACAAGGTAACTTTAATTCTAACTGATGGAGAGTGATGACCGAGTTCGATCGTGAACATTTTTTGCTTAGATTAAGATTAGATAACCAGTTTGATTACTCGATACTTTTCAAAAAGATAAATGTGCAATTAATTAGTATGTGTCATCAATATTTTTGGGATATCGGTGGGGGACATCGACCTTATTGTTGGCTTGTTTGGGTTGGTTTTAATAGAATGTGGTACATGTTGCCTTACATTCATGAGATCTCTTGGATGAGTTTGAATTTGAACAAGACTCATCAATTATTTGCTGAATTATACCCCTTGTCCTAAATATTTGAATGTCCACAGTGGTTCAGTAAGTATGGCTCTGGCCCAATAACCAGGAAGTCCCATGTTGCTCAAAACATACCTCGAGATTTGTGGACATTCATACACTTATAAAGGATCAGTCTGATTAAGGCCTCTCGTTTATCTGATTGTGCTTTGAGATGAAGTTATTGCTTCATTGACAGAGCAATTTCCACTGATGTCTTAACTTCCACAATTAATGTTATTTTTTTTACACGCCCACATTAATGTGGATGTATATTGTCATCGCCTCCGTCCGTCTGTTCAACCGTCCTTTCAAATTTTGTTTGTGTATACTCTACAAGTCACAGTTTTTATCTGATTTTGACGAAACTTAAGGTTAAACTATATGTTTATATCCCAAAGAACTCGGTTCTTTTCCATATTGGCATGTGTCGGACCGTAACTTTATGGATTATGGACCCTGATTGTACAAAAAATCACGTTATTAGCTTGTGGACACTCTAGAGCACACAATTTTATCCAATTTCCATATTGGCGCATAACGAACCTTAACTTCCTGGATTTTGGCCCCTGATTGTACGAAAAATTGTGTTTTTATACGCCCACAATTTCACGTGGACGTATTATGTCGTCGACCCTGTCCTTCCGTTCATATTTGTTTGTGGACACTCTTCAGGTCACATTTTTTTATCCGATCATGGTTTTTATATCCCTAAGATCTTGGTTTCTTTTGATATTGGCATGTAGGACTGTAACTTCATGGACTATTGCTCCTGATTATATGAAAAATCATGTTTTTAGCTTGTGGACCCGGTAGAGGTCACAATTTTGATCTATTTTGATGAAACTTAAAATGTGTTTATAGTCCAATAATCTCAGTTCATTTTGATATTGGCGCATATCTGATCGTAACTTCCTGGATTATGTCCATTGATTGTATAAAAAAATCACATTTATCGCTTGTGGATTCTCTAGTCGTAACAATATGTATTTGATTTTAAAAAAAAGTTCATATATATCACTGTTAAACCATAATTATGGTTGAGTTCAAATTTTTATCCAATTTTGATAAAACCTGTGGACCCTCTGGAGGTCATAACTTTTATTCGATTTGAAAAACTATACATATATATCACTGTTGCACCTGATTTACAGTTGAGTTTGAATTTTGTGAAAATTGCACCAATACTTCCTGTCCAAATGGTTGCCCCCCTATAGTGTAAAAGCATGTAATACCAAGGTTGTGGACCCGCTAGAGATCACAATTTTTATCCGTTTTTGATGAAACTTAAAATATATGTTTATATCCGATATTGGCATGAATTGGACCATATCTTCATGCATTATGGCCCCTGATTGTACGAAAAATAATGTTTGTGGACACTCTAGAGGTCACAATTTTTATTCAATTTTGATGGAACTTTAAACATATGTTTATATCCCAAAGATCTCGGTATTGACGAATATGTGGGGCTGTAACTTACTGGATTTATTTAGCTTGTTCTCTTCCATCTCTTGCAAAATGTGGGAATATTTCGCATGGCAACCGCTTGTTTTTTTACATCTGTCATCTCATTGACACAGACTTTATACAATGATATATATTAATTTTTAGCAATTCCAAATAATTACTTGGTTATTGCCCTTGATCACTTTGAAATATGTTGTTTGCGCTGTAGTGACTAAAGTTATCATTCAATTGGCTTGAAAATTTGCAAAGTTTATATTCTTGGAATGAAGCATATAATAGATTTCCTAACAATTTTTGATAATTACTTCCAGAGTTATTGCCCTTAGAGGCTAAGAGGGAGAACCTGATTGAGAACTTTGCTGCTGTGGGCATATATTTGTTTTTCTGACAAGCTTTCTTCTCCTTATTCTTGTCGGATATGTTTGTTTTCCGAATGTCAATCTCGTGGACCTGGCAAGTAGCATGTTGGAATTCCTTAGATTAATGATATTGTTACAAACACTAAATCAAATGAAGTGTAGTAGCAGTAACCAATAAATATTTGAAGCTTATTGACCCTGTTTCCCACAGTTAACAACAACTTCTGTTGACCCAATATTGGTTCCTGGCCAGTTGGTTTTAAAATGAATTAAGAGCACTGATATAGTTTCTAAATATTTTGCAATAATCTGTTATTTAAAGTTTATATAGATTAAGTGAATATTGTAAAGTTACAGATTTCAAATATGCATTAAATATTCTTTCGTCCATATTTGTTATTTTTGTATCAACTTTTTTCATTATCAATTTATAATTCTTTGTTAAGTTTGAATATTGTGTCAAATTGTACGTCTTGTTACATAATATCTAGTATGTGGTAATTAATTAATTAAGTCATGTTATTTCAAGGACAGACAGGTATCAAAGAGGTATCCGCCCACCTTTATATAGTACGCAACCATCGACGGGATTGTAATATTGAAAATGGACCCTTAATAGACATATCCTTAGATGTGCCCAACACCTACAAGTAAAATTCCAAATTTTCCCTTTTTATAAAATGAAAGCCGATGACATCATCAAAAAGGGAATTAATACGTTCCTTGACTTAATAGTCAATAAGTAACAATTGGCCATTAACTTCATTAATTTTCTTAAATCTATCCCACAGGGCTCACACTGGCTTTCAATTTTTTTCTGCCAAAATGGATGATAATTTTTATATAAAAAAATATTCATATTATTTTTCCACCAATTGGAATATTTTATCTGCCAAAAATGTGTGAAAAAAAAGGCAACATCTAACAATTTTGTCTCAGCTAGGTTTATTAATATTATAAAACAATTACTGATATATACAATACAATATACAACAACTTTAAAAATCTGTCTGTATATGATACATTAGCACAGTTCGGATTTAATAAGATCAGATGTTTTTTGGGTGACTTTAGTCTATTTGAACACCGTACTGCACAGTATATTTTCAGTATTTACACGTCAGATCTCATTCAAGGATTGCCAATTTACTATAAATTTATGTGTTGCGTGCACGATAGGCCTACAGTTATTTTCAGAATCTGAATCCCTGATAGAATGATATAAATTTCAATTATATTTGTAAGAGATGCTTACAATTATACCCGTCGTTTACCTTTAGATAATTTTGGCGACGGTAATATGATCAGATATGGCGAAATGATTTCTCGCTTAAGAATCGTCGCTGTTATACTTTTGCATGGATGGCAAACATTGTTAGCGTTTCCAATGGATGAAGAAAAGACTAACTCTCATTCATATTATTTTTGAGGACAACTTTATTGTGACATCATAGCAGTAACACATGACAGGAAGTGGCTGCACTTGATTAGTGAATGCAAGCTCTATGTTGTACTTAATTAACAAGTTAAAGTTACTCATACAAAATACAACAGTTGCTATTCAACTCGTTCTTACGTTTTCAACCAGTGGT